CTCTCTGGGCATCTTGTGCCAGTGCTCCATCATCTTCACAGTGGAAAAGAGTTTCCTGGTGTCCAGACAGAGCCTTCTGTGCTTCACTTTCTGCCCATTGCCTCTTGTCCTGTCACTGGGCATCGCAGAGAAGAGCCTGGCTCTGCCTTCTTCACATCCTCCATTCCTATATGTGTACACTGTGATGAGACCTGCCCTGATTATTCTCTGCTTCTTCATTGCTTTCTATAATGAAGTAAAAGCATTAGTGGACAAGGGAAGAGCTGTGGATGTCATCTATCTTGACTTTGCCAAGGCCTTTAGCACTGTCGCCTATAACATCCTCTTTTGTAAATTGGAGAGAGATGGGTTCAATGGTGGACTGATCAGTGGATAAGAAACTGGGTGGATGGTCGCACCCAGAGAGTTGTGGTCAATGGCTCAATGTCTAGCTGGGAAAACGTGACAAGTGGTGTCCCTCAAGGGTCTGTATTGGGACCAGTGTTGTTTAACATTTTCATTAATGACACAGAGAGTGGCATTGAGTGCACCCTCAGCGAGTTTGCTGACGATACTGAGCTGGATGGTGCAGTTGATATGCCAGAGGGACCTGGACAGACTGGAGAGGTGGCCTCAGGTGAGCCTCATGAGGTTCAACAAGGCCAAGTGCAGGGTCCTGCACCTGGGCTGGGGCAACCAGCATTATTTGCCCAGAGAGAGAGAAAGAGACCAGTGTTATTTGCAGAGAGAGCATTGCCCAGTTGGCAATGGCAGCCCAGAAGGCCAATCAAATCCTGGGCTGCATCAAAAGAAGTGTAGCCAGCAGATGGAGAGGGGTGTTTGTGCCACTGTACTCTGCCCTGGTGAGACCTCACCTGGAGTCCCGTGTCCAGCTCTGGAGCCCCCAGCACAGGAAGGGCGTGGAGCTGTTGAAGCATGTCCAGAGGAGACTCACAAAAATTCTCCGAGGGCTGGAGCAGCTCTGCTGTGAGGACAGGCTGAGGGAGTTGGATTGTTCAGCCTGGAGAAGAGGAGGCTCCAGGGGGACCTTATAGCAACCTTCCAGTACCTGAAAGGGGCCTACAGGAAAGCAGAGGAGGAACTATCCACAAGGGTTTGTAGTGACAGGACGAGGGGTAATGGCTTTAAGCTAGAAGAGTATAGATTTAGGTTAGTTGTTAGGAAAAAGTTCTTCAATATGAGTGTGATAGACCACTGGAATAGGTTGCCCAGACAGGTGGTGGAGGCCCCCTCCCTGGTGACATTGAAGGTCAGGCTTGATGAGACTCTGAGTAGCTTGATCTAGTTGGAGATGTCCCTGCTTATGGCGGGGGGGCTGGACTAGATGACCTTTGACATCCCTTCCGACCCAATGCATTCTATGATTCTATAATTCTCCAGTTTTTCTATTACCCTTCAGACACAGACTTGGGACACGGAAAGGCTCAATAGCTGTAGAGGTCCATGACAACTTTGGCTGGCTGTGGTTTGTCTCCATCTTAGGCTGAGAAAAGAGATGATTGAACCACTGCCAAAGCACAGAGCTCCCTCAAGCTGATGGGACCAGCCAGGGGCTGCTTTACTGCCTTAACTGTAGGGTCTGAAGGACTTGTCTAGAGTTGTGTAGAGGGGATGAGTGGGTGCTGGGGAGTCCTGTTTCACAGTGCATGATGCTGCTCATGTCCATGTTCCTCTGCCTGCACTCATGCGTGTGCTCACACACGTGTGTGTGCCTGGGCTATGACACATGCGAATGTCGTGTGCACCGATATTGTGTGTGTGTGTGTTTGGGCCAATGTGTCCCTGAATCTGTGTTGTTTAGCACACACATGTGCCTTCCTTCAGGACAGCGTGAATGGCTGTGACTGGTCTGAATGTACGGAATGGGGTGGGCACAGGGGTGAGTCTGTGGGGAGGCTCAGGGATGTTGTTGGGCTGGCAAGAATCATACCAGTAAAAACTGAGAAGAAATCGGCATCGAATGCTTCAGTCTTTTCCCTGTCATTTGTCACCAGGTCTCCATCGCCACCACACCTCCATGCCGTGGTAAACACCATTTCTGTCGGTGCGGGCGGCACGAAGCAGCACGGGGTCCCCAGGCAGGTGCAAAGGAGGAACTTTATTTACAAAAAACCCGGCCTTTTTATGCCCTTAGTCGTCCATTAGTTTACATACTTTTTAGGCACAACAAACCCACTTTAACCAAACACCAAACACCACGGTGCAAACACATAGCATGCCTCACCTCCTCAGTTCTAGCTGAGTCCCTCTCCCAGAGCCCCTCTCTGCTTAGCTTGAGTTCCAGGCCTGATCCGTGCTTTTACCAGGCCTTCCCTTACAGAGCTGCACCTATCGGCAACACATTTCCATGTCCAAGATACTGGAGGGACAGATGGAGAGCAGGGAGAAAGCTTTTGTGTGGGTGAATGGGCTCAAGCTGGGCCTGTTACTCTCGTTAACTGCATCTCCCCCTCACCAAGGGCAGATCAGTCTCCTCTCAACCACAACGAAGCTTGGATACCAGACTTGCAGAAAACTACCCTGTCATGACCCACATCTCAGCAGAGGCCCTGGACAGCCTCTTTTTGGGTGTGACTCTTCTCAATTAACTCTAGATGCTGAGATGCGTGTCTGTGTTGTCTAAGTTGGCTGTCTAGTCTATCTTGGGCATCAAAACAATGAAAAGTAGGTGCATGGAAGGTGTGGATTGCCTGATCTATGTGAGACAGGGTGAACTGAGCTCGGACAGTATTGATATGTCTCTGCTGCTGATCAATGGAGCAAAGATGAGTAGCTCATCCTCATCTGGAGACACCTGCTCTGGAGACAGGGGAGATTATTCCCCCTACTCATCTTGTCTGACATTCTGCTTTGAGCTTTACTTTGATATTCTCTTCCATGAAGATTGAAGATTCAGGTCTTAATTGCGTTTAGAGTTACCTCTGAAATGAGGTAGGTAAAGCCCTCCCCTTCCTCTCTTTGTATTCATGTGCCCATAGTTGCCTTGAGTTCTCTCACACTCTGGAGGTTTCTAGACCAAGTTAGTACCCAGCAGCAGATACTTGACCTTTCCACTCTCTTGGTCTATTTCAGACTTTTCCTGCACATCAGCAAATGGCTCCATAAGAGAGCACTGAGCTCCTGATAAGCTTCACATAGCACAGCTGCAGGCAGGAGGCAAATCCCAGCCTGAGAGCCACTGGAGAGAATTGTGTTTCTGTTCCTTAATTGGTCTGGGTGAAGAGAGAGCATTACCCATCTGCCCCAAGCCCATGAGATCCCACAGAGATCCAGCTCCCTGTGGCACACAGAAGGAAAAGAGAAACACGTCCCCCAAGTGCAGCCGGTTGAGCTTCAGCCTGTTAATGAGATGGGAGTAGGGAAGTTCTTATGCTAATGATGCTGGAGACTTTCTGATGTTTGCTCTCACTCTGTGGAGCTAAGCTGGAGACAGTTGACACTGTGTGTGTAAACAAGGCTCCCTCTGTGGAAGTACAGCAGTGGCTATCTGGGGAAAGAAAAGCAGGAGCACAAGCTGTCAGCACCTGCCAGGTGGCTTTAGAGGAACCAACGTCAGGCAATTGTGTCCAACCTGAAGTGAGTCGCCAAGGTGAGAGCTGTTCGTTCAGAATTGTCTGACATCACCGCACCCAGAGCTCCCCCAATAAATCAACCTCTTTCCAATGCTCGCTCTCAGCCAAGGAGACCATGGCTCACCTGGAGGATGGTGCCTGAAGAGGTAATTTGGATCATTTCCATTGGCTGAGCTGGTGAGTGAAGCCTCCCCAAGACCTCCAGTGTAGACTTCATTGCCTTGCATGTTTAAGGAGAGCCACAGAAAGGGGGATTTCTCTGCTCTTCACCCACATGAGATTTCTGGACTGTAAATTCCTCAAGAGGGAGAACAGAGAGGAAGGGATCCTTCAGGTGGTGGTCCAGCTCCACCTGTCTTAGACATCTCCCTGAGGAAGAGCTCAATTCTCCCTTAGAGTGCTGATCAAGAGTCCCCCCTTGTCATCAGGGAGGGCACAGATGACACCCCTTGGTTCATCTGGCTACTCAGCAGAGCTACTTTGGGGGGAATTCACCACAGACTTCAACCACAGATGTCCCTGCCCAAGTTGAGATGTCCAACTTACCCATCTGTGCTGCTCTCTAAACTCCTGCCTTAGTTCTTGGAGACAACCTGGCACTTGTAGAGGGCTTTTGGCCATGTAGATGATCTCCCTCAGGCCTCTCCTCTGTCCATGTAGAAAGAAGGGAGGGGGGCTAAGCTCAGTAGCTTGTTCACTGTAGATCTTTCAGCTGGGTCAGTAGAAGTCCTCCCCTGACTCTAATGTAGAAACATTACAAAATGACTTCTCCCCCTAGTAGCTATGCTGAGAAGCAGAGATCAGTGGAGGGAATGGAGGCACTTGCAAAAGCTTCCTGTGCTGAGACTGGGAAGAAAGCAAATAGACAAGAGCATGAGTCCTTGAGTAGTGACTGTCCTGCCTGTGCTGCCCTGTGCTGCTGCCATCTCAGTCCAAATCCCTGGTGACACACTGACCTCGAGGAAGTGAGGAAATCTCTTCCAGTGCCATGTTATCCTGACAGTTTTCCGATCCCTCAGCCTCATCAGCTGAAATCACAATTCAGTGTTTCCTGCCCTGAAGAACACAGACATGTTATTCCCTTCCTAACTGCCACAGCCTGTCCTGGAGCTGGAGACCTTCAGCCTGCCAGCCATGGTTTCCTGAATGGGATTTTCATCTCAAGGAAGGAATTGCATTCACCATGTTCTAGAGGAGATGCCTGTGCTTGACCTGATAAATCATTCTCCAGGTTCTTTGGTCCACTTGTCCAAACATGTTTCTGCACTGAAGGACTTCCCTGACAATTTTATCTTAGGGTAGATGCTGTTTTCCTGTGCTCCACACCAGCTGCATTTTCAAGGATGGGGCTTTTGCTCCCCTCCTAGTAGTGTCTGCAGGATAAGCACAGGCATGCACACTCTCACAGAAACATTTCTGTCTTTGCAGATGAACCTCAGCACTTGGGAGGACATGGCAAACGGGACAAGTGTGGAGGAATTCATCCTTCTTGGCTTCCCAGGCACATGGCATTCCCACGTTTCCCTTGTGGTGGTATTTGCACTGACATACTCCCTGGCAGTAACAGGCAATGCAACCATCATTGCCCTGGTGTGGGTGAACAGCACCCTCCAGACCCCCATGTACTTCTTTCTCTGCAATCTCTCCTTTCTGGAGATCTGGTACACTACAGGGGTTGTTCCCAAAGCCCTAGGAGTCATGCTGGGCACTAGCCAAACCATCTCCTTCAGTGCCTGCATCCTCCAGTTATTCTTTCTTGTCTCCCTTGGCTCCACAGAGTGCTTTCTTCTCTCTGTCATGGCCTATGACCGCTACTTAGCCATATGCTACCCCTTGAGATACAGCTCCATCATGACCAGTGTCCTCTCTGCTCGGCTGGCACTCAGCTCCTGGCTGGGAGGCTTTCTGGCCATCTCGCTGCTGGCCTTTCTGACATCCAGGCTGACCTTCTGTGGGCCAGAGGTCATCAATCATTTCCTCTGCGATATAGATTCCTGCCTTGCCCTCTCCTGCAGTGACACGTGGCCTGTGGAATTGGCAACCTTTCTGGTCTCCATGATTGTTGTGGTGGCCTCCTGTGTGGTCACCCTGGTCTCCTACATATACATCATCTCTTCCATCCTGAGGATCCAGTCAGCCCGTGGCCGGACAAAGGCCTTTTCCACTTGCTCTGCCCATCTCAGTGTTGTCACAATCTGGTATGGCTCCACTATGTTCCTGTATGTCAAGCCATCAGCCCAGAACTCCCTGGACCTGAACAACCTTGTGAACACCTTTAACACTGTTGTAACTCCTGTGCTGAACCCCTTCATTTACACACTCAGGAACCAAGAAGTGAAGCAAGCTCTGGGACAGGCTTTCCAGAAAAAGTGAAGGGGCTTTTCCAAGGGCCTCAGTAGATGCTAACAGATTGATCCCAGATTCAAACTCCTCATTGCCTTAGGACATAGACCTCTCCTTCTCTACTGAGTCAGATGTTTCCTGGATGTATCGAGCTCTGTTCTTCTGGATGTTTCACTGAATCATACCCTGCTTCACAATAAAATCTGTCTATGTCTGATACTTCTACCTATAGCCATTAATCCTAGCATAAGACCATCAACAAATTTACATTCCCTTTCCTTCCTTTCTTCACTATCTGAATGACCTTGAAAATTTGTAATTAAAAATATACAAATCACTGTGCTTCCTGCTTGATGGATCAGGGTATTTCCACATGTAAAACCCCACATCAGGTTGCAACAATCTCTCATTCCACCCAGTTGGGGCTTTGTGGTGGAAAGAATGTGACTGGGCAAAGTCCCCAAACTGCAGCGTTTTTTTTTCACTATTTCCCAATAGGCAGCACTGTCCTGGAGCTCCATACCCTGCACACCCAGAAGCACCTGGGAGAGCTCCACAGACAGTTCAGAGCAGAACCTCCCTGAATCCACCCAAGGCTTCCATTTCTCCACCTGCAGCAGCATCTGAGGGGTCTGGGTCTTGTGCTGCTGGTACCAGGAGATGTAGGGATTGGCAGAGCTGGTGGAGAAGTTGCAGGGCAGAGTTGTGTGGTATCCTACCTGGACCGTACTTCCTGCTGGGAGCTGGCACACAGAGTACTTAGTCATCCCTGCTGGGAGCTGGAACACAGAGTCCTTTTGGGCATGACCTGTCAAGCCAGAAAAGGCTTTAGTCTTTGCTTGCCCATGTCCCTCTCTGTCCATCACTTCATCAGTTCTGCCCACTTGCCAGCTCCCTTTTCCTTGCCTCTGAAACCCTGAACTCTTTGTCCCTGACCACTTCTTTCAGCAGCTTCTCAACACTCCTCAGCCCCCAGCTCATCCTGATTTTCAGCCATGCTTAGTGCTCGGTCTGCCCGCTGACCTCTCCAGATATAAGCTGTGTTAACTGGTGGTCTCGGCTTCATCAGCAGAAGGCTGGAGTTGCTCTTCCCTCACCTCTGACATTAGCTTCCTGCTAGAACAGGTCTTCCACAGGACAAGCTACATCCTCTGCCCTTGTCCTGTTCCTCAGTGGCATTTCAGCTCTTCAGTCATCGAGTGAACCTTCTCTCCTTGTCCCCTAAGGTTTACAGCCTTCCCTGGCAGCATTGTATCCAACGCAGGCCAGGAGAGAAGCTCTTATGAGTCACATCGCTCTGTTGCCTCAGATCTTTCCCTCTCCCACCCTTCCTAGGTGTTAGTGGCACATTCAGGAATGCTCAGCACCTGCACATTTGAGGTGAGCTCTTATTCCTTTTCTGATGCCCATTGCTCAGGACACCACACAGATTATTTCCCATAGCCACCTGCAGCCTTTGCTTTCCCTGCAGAAACACTCCCAGACTTTCCAGGGGCTCTCTACACAAGTCACTCCACTTCCAACATCAGCTGCACAAACTCTTGCCTCATTCTGCCCAGCCTGAAAGTCACATTTTACCAAAGTCTGCCAGTTCCTCCTGCGCGGCCAGGAAAATCAGGGCCATGTCAACCTTCCCAGGGTGCCAAAGGACCTGACAGCATGAGGCCCCTGATGCTGCCACTTCCCCTCTTCTCCTACCTCTGCCAGATCCAAGAGGCCTCCAAACCCCAGCCCAGAGGGAGGAGCAAAACTCTCTCTCTGCTGTTCTGGGCAGACCTCTCTGGGTCTGTCCCCCAACCTCCACCAAAGAAGGCTCTCTAGAGAGCAAACAGAGCCATGGTTTAAGTGCTGTCCATCAGAGGCACGGGCACCCCTCATTAACTTCCCCCCACAGCAACTGCCTGGCCAGCTGCCCAGGCTTGCCCCCAGCTCTGCTGAAGATGGAGACAGCAGCCCTGCACCCACCCATGTCCACCCTGTCCCTGCCACTGTCTGGACACAGAGAGGAGCAGGCACATGCTGAAGTGTCTGGACCCAGGGCTCGCAGGCTCTCTGGCCATCAAGGAGGAACCTGAAGAGAAACAGCTCTAGTAGAAGGAGGAGTCCTAAGAGATGGGGGAAATGGAAACAGGTTCCTTCTTGGAAAGGAAGGAGAATCCCCTCCTCCCTCTCCTGACTTCCCTCACCTTCCCAGTTGCCCTTCCACAACAGTTTTACTGCTCTGGAAGTTGATGGCCATGTCATTCTAGATGGAGAGGAAGGTCCATCTGGGAACCAACGAGGTTGAATCAGTCACCCCGACAACTTAGGACTAGTTCAGTGAAGTAAAAAAGGATGGTACCAGTAGTAGGTGCTTCCCTTCTGAAGGGATCTGAGGGCCCTATGTGCAGACTAGATCCATCTCACAAGGGAAGTCTGCTGCCTCCCTAGCGCTCAGGTGAGGGATGCTAGAAGGAAACTTCCAGGCCTGGTAGAGCCTTTGGACTATTACCTGCTTCTGGTAATGCAGATTGGCAATGACAAGGTTGAGAAGAGATGACTGAAGGCAATCAAAAGGGACTTCAGGGCACTGGGGTGGATGCTACAAGGATCAGGTGTACAGGCTGTGTTTGGTTCAATCCTCTCAACTGCAAAGAAGACTACTGAGAAGTTCAGAAAAACACAACAGATAAAAGTCTGAAATTGTGGTGTAAACAGCTCAGTTTGGGGTTTTTTCAACCGTGGAGAGGCCTACACAACACCTGGCCTGTTGAAATCAAATGGGGCTCATATGACTGCAAGGGGAAAAAGGATCCTGGAATATGAGCTGGCACAGCTCATAGAATCACAGAATCCTTTAG